GGAGGGGCTGTAGAACGAGGGGAAGGGGCTGGAAAAGTTGGGGGAATGGCTGAGGAACGTGGGGAAGGGGCAGGAGAATGTGGGGGAGGGGCTGGAGATCAGGGTGAAGGGGTCCCAGAACTTCTGAGGGGCATCTAAGGGAGCTGGGTGTGTTGAGGCTGGAGAGGAGGAGGTTGAGGGGAGACTTTCTGCACACCTGTGTAGAATTATGCATCTTTTATTTGATCATGACTGTTTAATTCAAGCTGTCTAGTTTAGTTTTCAATCCAGAAAGTCTCTCTCCCTCATTCTCCTTCTTCCCTGCCTGGGTGGGAGGGGATTCAGAGCATTTTCATCTCTGGTTCAGTTGCTGCTCCTGAGTCAAACCGGGAGAACAATTTGTTGGTGCCCAACGTGGGGCTCGATCTTAAGCCCTGGCTATAAATTCTGACTCATTGGGAGCATTTAAAATTCCATCTGTGACGGGAGGAATATCTTTGGTAGCAGTGGGCAACATTTCTGCTGAATTTAAGGATGGATTGAAAGCTGAACAGACACCTTCTGCAACGTGTTTGCTGGACCAGCATGTTCCCAGCATGTGGTGAGCAGCCAAGATCTGCTCTGTGGAGCTGCTCTTGGGATAGCAGATAGAACAAGCAGCTAGAGCAGCAGGCCCTTCTCAATCAGATGATGACCATTACCTTGTCCAGCCTTTCTTGCTGAAGGATCTGCACCTGATGAGAAAGGCCTTCACCTGCTTTGATGTGAAGGGACTTCTTCCTTGGTTGCTCCAATGGTGAAACCCATAATGTGGCCGAGAGAAGCCAAGCAGTTGGGATCTCTGGCCAGAGATGCTGGTATTGATAAAGCACTTGGTCATAAGATGGGAACCACCACCCTGTGGGACCCACTTCTTCCAGCAGTGAGGGGGAGATGCCCCCCCAAGGGTGACATCAACTGGCACCAAAGCAGAACAGCCACTCTTCAGAGAGACATCAGGTGTCTGAGAGAAGCAGCTGTGTGAGGTGATCTGTGAGCAAGATGGATTTCCAGGTGCTGGTGACATTCCGCATGACACACAGATGTCCTGGAGGTTTGCTTAGGCTGTACCAGCAGCACCTGCCCAGATGTTCTCTTCCATGGGGTGCTTTGATGATGATGCAAGACCAGCTGTGCGTGAGGTGGCTTTCTTCTGGATGCTGGTTTTACTGTCAAAAGAAGGAAGGTCAAGGGACCTTTGGGAGAGATCCAGCTCCTGGAAATCAGATGGCAAGATGGACGTTACCAGATCCCAATGCACGTGATGACCAGAATAACAGCTGTGACCCCAGTATCTACTCAAAAGGACACTTAGGTCTTTCTAGGGACTGTTGGTTTCTGGAGAAGGCACATTCCTGGTTGCAGTGACGTGAAACCTCTCTGAGAGGTGACCCAGAAGAAGAGGGACTTTCAATGGGGTCCTGACCACCAGAAAGCTTTTGAGCAAGATCAGAAAGGAGATGGTGCAGGCAATGGCTGTGGGACCAATCTGAACATCAAACATGTGCTCTACACAATGGTCCTACCTGAAACCTCTGGCAGAAAGCACTAGGGGAGACTCGAGGTTGACCCTTGGGATTCTGGAGGTGCAGCTACAGAGGTTCCCAGGCCAACAACTGAGAAGGAGACACTTGCAGCATGGGAACGAGTTCGAGCCACTTGGGAACTGATGGGCACTGAAGTTCCTCCTGGTGCTCAGATTCCCAGTGCTGAGCTCCATGTACCTTTCTCCTGCCCATCATGCCACCAGTGAGACTGGGAGGAAATGGACTGCTTGAATCTCCCAGCCAGCTCGAACAGGAAGACCTAATCATCCAGGTATCATAGAAGCAATTCCAGACTGGCCAGAAGGCACCCACTTTGGAATGGCAGCACAAGAAATGGTGAGACGGGCTCAAGAAGCTCCATCATCTGATCATCTACCAGAGACTGGGACACAATTTGTTCTTTTCACCCATGGCTCGTGTCGTCTTGCAGGGAACCACCAGCAGTGGAAGCTGCCCTGTGGAGTCCTACACAACTAGTTGCACAAGCAGCTGAAGGAGAAGGTGAATGGAGTCAGTTTGCAGAGGTCCAAGCCATCCAGCTGGCTTTGGACATTGCTGAGCCAGAGGGGTGGCCCAGACTCTTATCTCTACACTGACTGGTGGGTGGCAGCAAATGCCTTGTGGGGTTGGCTAAAGCAGGGACAGCAGAACAACTGGCAGTGAAAAGGTCAACCTGGTTGGGTTGCTGAGCCGTGGAAAGACACTGCAGCTTGGATAGAGAAACTGGTAGTGAAAGTGCATCATGGAGATGCACACGTGCCTCTGAGTGGAGCCACTGAGGAACATCGACACAACCAACAAGCAGATGAGGCTGCTCAAGTGTTCCAAGTAGACTTAGACTGGGAACACGAGGGTGAGCTATTTCTGGCTCGGTGGGCCCATGACACTTCAGGTCATCAGGGCAGAGATGCAATATACAAATGGGCTTGTGACCGAGGGGTGAATGTAACCATGGACACTATTGTACAGGTGATCCTTGCCTGTGAGACGTGCTGCAAATAAGCAGGTGAAATGGTTGGAACCTTTGTGGTATGAGGAGAGGTGGTCACAGTACAGGTTTGGGGAGGCCTGGCAGATTGACTACATCACACTGCCTCAGAACTGCCAGGGCAAGTGCTGTGTGCTTACAATGGTGGAAACAAGTACAGGATGGTTGGAAACATCTCCTGTGCCTCATGGCACAGCCTGGAATACCATCCAGGGCCTTGAGAAGCAAATCTTGTGGAGACATGACACTCCAGAGAGAATTGAGTCAGATAATGGGACTCATTTCAAGAACAGTCTTGTGACTGACTGGGCTAAAGAGTCTGGTATTGAGTGGATCTGCCACATCCCGGGCTATGCACAAGCCTCAGGGAAAGCTGAAAGGTACAATGGTTTGCTGAAAGCTAAACCAAAGGCAATGGGTGGTGGAACATAGAGCCTATATGTAATGTATGGTATGGAATAAGGGGTGGAATGTCCTGGTTTGATCCACAATGAAGGCAGTTTTCCTTTTACTGATTTTTTATTTTTTTTTTTCCCCTTCAGCAAGCTTTCTTTTAACTACTCAGAGTGTTCCTGCTAGGAATGATAATAAACAGTGGAATGTTTTTCTCAGTGCTGGGTCTTCAAGGTCACATCTTTACTCTGCCAGCTCAGACACTACAGGGAGATCTCTGACCCCCCATAGGAGGCTGAGTTAGACAGACAGCAAAACTGGCCGGAGATATTCCATTCCATAAAAGCTACGTAAGCTCAGAGGAAGGACAGAGATCACAAAAGACAACTTCCTTCCTGCTCCTTCTTCCCTTCTCTTAATTCCATGGCCGGCATCCGGGAGACTCCATCCATCCATCACTGTCAAGCCCCAGGCTCCAGCTCTCGTGACCCTCATCACTCTCCGCTTTCTCCAGCAACTCTGGAATCTTTCAGAACTATTCCAGCTGAGGAGAAGGTGTGGGAGTTGCTGGGGTGGGGGGAGGCAAGAGGCTTTTACACATATCTGAACATATTTGTATGTAATTGTATATATTTTCTTACATAATTCATTAGTGTTTAATTAAAGCTGTGTAGATGAGTTTTCAATCCAGCCAAGTCTCTTCTCTTTTTCTCTCTCTCCTTCCCTACCTGGGTGGCGGGGGGAAGGGATTGAGAGTGTTGTTGTCGGACCCGGGTCAAACAGTGACATCAGGAATGTGCAAAATGTGCCCTCAAATGCCTGTAGTTTCCTTGGCTGCATTTCACAAGTCATGCTCAGCCCACCCTGTAGCCATTAGGGACTTGGGGATGACAACAACCAGACAAGGACAGGATACTTCCCTTCCTGCCACTCAGGCCTGTCCTCCCCACCCCACACCAACTTGCCCACTTGTCAGGTCCAAGGCCCAGCTGAGCACTGCTCACCTCACACTCCTCTGCACAGCTCCGGCCAAGAAAGTTTACACAAAGCAAATCCAGATTCTGTTTTCCCATCTCTGAAACAACCCCCAAATGGTAGCGAGACTCAAGTTATCCTTCTGAATGTGTCCCAGTTTTTCAGACACCAGTTGGACACTGAAGAGCAGAGAACATTTCTTGGGTCTAAAACACCCCAAAACAGCAACCGAGAGAACAAAGGCATTTTTGCTGCTTATGTTCAAAGAAACAGCATCACCTCAGAAAGACCCAATCCCACCTTGTTGCCTCCTCGTTTTCCTTGCAAAGCCCATCACTAACTCACCCTAAAATGTTCCCTAAGGGTATTTTTTCCCACTTCAAAAAACACCTTTGGTCCCTCACAACACATCCCCTTTCTCCCTTGAGGACAATGTCACCATGATAAAGACTCTGTTTTACTCTCATTTTGGAAATACAGTGACCTTGACCATGCCCCTTCAGTCTTAGTGATCCCTGAGGTGCATCTGGCCATGACGGATGAGATCTGCTCTCTGGTAAAGCCCATTCTTGCACTGGGAGCAGCTGAAGGGTCATTCACCCGTATGGACCCGTTGATGTTTCCGCAAGCTGGGACAGTCACAGAAGCTCTTCTGGCACTGGGGACACGTGTAGGGTCTCTCTCCTGTGTGGATGCGTTGATGCTTCACGAGCCAAGTGTTCAAGACAAAGCTCTTCCCACAGTCAGGACATGCATAGGGATGTTCACCCGTGTGGAGCCGGAGGTGACGGTTGAGGTTTGAGCTGCTCGAAAACTTCTTCCTGCATTTGGGACACACGTAGGGTTTTTCCCCAGTGTGGACATGTTGGTGACACATCCAAGCGCTGCTCCTACAGAAGCTCTTCCCACACTCCAGACACTTGTAGGGTCTCTCCCCTGTGTGGGTCTGGTGGTGTTTATTTAATGAGGACTTGACAGCAAAGCACTTCCCACACTCTAGACATGTGTAGGGTTGGTCACCCATGTGGAGCTGCTGATGTTGCCGCAAGTTGGAGCTGCAACTGAAGCTCTTCTGGCACTGGGGACACGTGTAGGGTTTCTCTCCCGTGTGGATGCGTTGATGGCTGATAAGCAAGTAGTTCCAGGCAAAGCTCTTCCAAAAAAAAGGGACGTTCACCCGTGTGGATTTGCTGGTGCCGGTTTAGTCGGTATTTACGGAAGTAACTCTTCCCACACTCCAGGCACCTGAAGGGTCTCTCCCCTCTGTGCATTCGCTGGTGCCGGGCTAATTGGTAGTTTTGAGTAAATCCCTTCCCACACTCCTGACACCTGAAAGGTCTCTCATCTGTGTGGATTAGCTGGTGCCGGGTGAAACTTGATCTTCTCTTAAAAGTTTTCCCACAGTCAGGGCAGTTGTAGGACATGGCACCGGGTACGGGTGTCACTGTGGGACCAGACACAAGGTGGCTCCAACAGGGCAACACCTATAGGGCCTTTTGCCTCTATAGATGACTGGAGATGGGCTGGTAGGATCTTCACCCTTTCCTGGGTTCCTCACCAACAGCAAGGTCTCCAACATGGATTGGAGGATGTTTCACCAATGTTGAGCCATGACCAAAAGCTCTCCTGCACTCAGGGCACATGGATGGATCCTCCAATGGGTCGATAAAGCTGCATTTTGGTTCAAGCTGTGGCTGCCCTCGGGGCACTTCCAGGGTTTTCAGTGGTGTGGGGATCACATCACACTCACTCTGGAAGAAAATGGTGTGCAAAGTGAAATAGGGGTTTACACATGGAGTTGGACACCCCCCCAACACATACACATTTAACTAGGTTGTAGGGATTTCAATGAGACCTCAAAACTGTGAGGTGAGGGGACACTTGATGCAGAGTCTTTTGGGAGTACTGGGGGTCTCAGCCACTCCTGGGATAACTCGGCTCCTCCCACTGCACCCGCCTTCCTTGAGATAATTTGGGCATTCTCTCATTGCAGCCCCGACCACTCCCGGCGTGAGGTAGGGGTCCTCCTGTGAGAAAACAGACCTGTCAGATGTCTGTGATATACTGGTTTGGTGTGGGTGTTGGGGAGGGGGACATGAGATGTGGTGGCTCAGGTGAGGTCCCCCAGCTCTAAAACCTGCAGCCACAGCTCTGGCCAAGGCCGAGGCATCAGAGACCAGGGATGGGCCTCTGCCACTGAGATATGAAAGGAGGGGAAACGTGAGAGCAGAGGAGAGGGGGAGGTGGGGAACTCTGTGGAGCCCAATGAGAGCAGCGGTGGGAGCAGCGCTGGAGCAGAGATACCAAGGGCGGGGAGGAAGGAGGGGGAGCAGGTGCCCGAGCACAGTTTCCCCTGCAGCCCGGGAAGGACCACGGGGGCACAGATGGGACCTGCAAAGAAGCCCGTGGAGCCCCAAGAAGCCCGTGGCTCTGTGGGCAGCCCACGCTGCAGCGTCTGTTCCTGAGGGGGAACAGGGAGGGACTCCTGTCGGAGGGTTGCTGAAGGACTCTCTCCCGTGGCAGGGACCCCGCGCTGGAGCAGGGGAAGGCTGTGAGGAGTCCTCCCCATGCCGGGGAAGGAGCAGCTGGAAACAGCGAGTGACCAAGTGGCCGGAAAGCCCCTTCCCTGTCCCCCTGTGCCGCTGGGGGGAGGAGGGACAG